GCAACCCTAGGCGTACGTAACCAACTACGACATACGATAGACGCACTACATAACATGTTAATAGTTCGCTCGCGTTTGAGTGTAGAATCAGCATGCGCCGTGGTCGCTGTTTTCCTAACACAAATAGTGCAAAACAATACGTAATCGTTTGTTTATATCAGAAATTAGAAATGACTTGGCACTTCACTAACCAACCTTTTTTTTTTATTGAAAACTAACCGATCCGATATCTATATATTGGGTTTCTCTGGAGATTTATGGCGGAAAAAAGGTCACCCATTTCGATATCGCCCATATCGGTCGGATATCTATTTTCGAATATGTTAAAAGTCTGTTACCCAATAATGTTTTTTGGATAACAGAACTATCATTTTTATTATTGGAGCAGTATATAGATGTTGTAACTAAAACAAATATTGTTGTATATTACCCATCCATACTAGTCACTTGCCCCGACTTCGCACGAGTATATTAATAAAAAAAAGAAACAATCTTAATAATGCAAATTTTATCAATATTTTTAAAGATCTACTTACTGTTTTCTGTGTCACTCGCAAATTTTTTGTAAGGACATTATTTAACCCAGATTTTTTTACTGTTCCGTACGATTTTTCAAACATATTATTTGATTCAAACCGAGTCCTGACAATTAAAAACATTACAAAAACGAGTTAACCAAATACTCATAGATGTAGACATTCTGAAGTGATGCATTCAATTCCCAATGTGGGGAGAGGGAGAGAAGAATTGTTAGTAAGGGGTTTGACAGTCCCATTGGTAGCAATAAACCCTTACAGGTCGACCTCCACGCGGTTCTCCTTGGGAATTATCTTGGTTAATTCTTATCAAATTAATCATGATAAGCCAACTGATCTGCATTCGTCCTCATCTATCCAACATCCTTCACTGGTGCCCCGCCAGCGTATACCGTTAGCGCAGGCGGGGGTTACAATTCCATTATCATCCATTAAAAGAAATCCCATCCATTACAACATTCCGTATACCGGTCACGCGTCAGTCACCAAGTAATAAACAACCTTACAATCAATGACCAGTCTCCACCGACCGGCGGTTGTGCAGTTGTGCATCGTGTCGAGCCAGTTGCAGTTGCAGTGCAGTGCAGCCGACCGCGTGTACACGTATAATCGCGGTCACTTCCGCACTTTTTACAATCACTGCAGTTATGATGCACGCACGTGCAACACGATGCACGGCACTGCGCTTGTTACGGCCGTATTACACTATCAAGTCCTTAATAATATTACGAACTAGATATTGTTAATATATAGAAATATTTATATATTCTAGTTACAATACTTATATATTGATCAATAGCGAATATAGTAAATACCGGTTATTTAATATACAACATTGAAATGTAGAATCCGACCAAAATGGCCAACTGCGATTACAACCCCGCTTGCCAAGCGTGGCAACTACTGGCAAAATCACACAATAAGTTGAGGCCTATGTTCAGCAATGAACAGTTAATGGCTGTATCATTATCAATCAAGTAAATAGAAAGATAGATAGATGACCTTTATTACCATTATTAAGAAAATAAAAAAATTAAAACAACAAAAAGAAAAAGAACAATTAATGTTGCTGGTAACAGGACAACAATAGTAAGCTGTATATATTTGTTTTTCTCCGTACTAAATTTAATACATGCTGCTTGCCTATAAAAAATTGTTACACTTAGTTCTAAGCCCCATAATTGTATAAATATTTACACTATCTTGTGGAAACAATTGTTGGTGAACCTAAATAAATAAATATTTTAAAAGAATAAATAAGTAGCTATACGAATAAGCATATTAGAGTGGTAGAAGGTAGAATTTCACAAATCACCTTGAGGGATCACAGATAAGATTAAAGCTTTGTGGATAGGATCTGTGATCTGTATCCATTGTACATCTGTCATATTTTATTATTGTTCGTCAGTTAGTCAGTGATTTTTGAGAATTTATGTTTTGACTCATCATATACACAATAGGGTTATAGAGGGAAAAGATTTAAAAGTTGCGTTTCACAAAAAAACTAACTTCAATTGTGACAAAACTTGTTTTGTTTTTATGGAAACGATTTCGATAAAATTTCTATGAAACAAATCTGTAAGTATATCCTTTCAGATAAAAAAAAAAACAGAATTTTTGAAATCAGTTTACAACTGATAGAGTTATAAGGTAACATAAAAAAAACCGAATTGAGAACTTCCTTCTGTTTGAAGTCCCGTGAAGATAAGCTCACGACCGTAAATCATGATAGAACAAGCAGAATTCGAAGAAATCCGTCAATTTTGACCACAATGGTGAAAGCAAAACTGCATGCTCCTTTTGTATTTCATATGTGTAATATATACTCGTATATATTATTAAGTGGTACAATTAAAAATAAATAAATAAATGCCCAGAGTTCTTCGAGCATACAGAATTTAACGTGTCTCAAATTAACTTTGTTAACCATGTTTTCCATCAACAGAGAGCTATTTCGAAATTTAAATTGACACACAACTTTTAGTTCTGGCCGGGTTAGAACCCATGACTTTTGGGGTCTATAAGTTGAGGTAGTAAACCATTCTCAGAAAAAATGAAAAAAAATTAAAAATTCTAATAATAATTTTCGATAAAGCTCTCTATTGAACAGCAGTAAAAAGTAAAAATCAAAAGAAACCAAAAATTATTTGACAATCTGAAAAGAAATGATATAAATATATATATTCTTTATTGCACTTGTAAGTTACATATAAAATAATACTTACTGTGTTTATACTAAAACTGATCATTAAAATCTTTAAGAATAAAATCATGAATGGTAAAGTTGTCAAAACATCCGAGGTGAGAAACAAACAAACTTTGAAATATATAATATTAGTAATAAGTGAGTAATTCAGACAATAAGTATAAATGTACGCCCGATGTGGTCATTTATTTATTAAGATTTGTCAAAATCCACATGGTCAGGAAACCAATAACTTCTAATATTCTCTAAACACATTAACCCTCTTATCTTCGACGGTCGGGTAAAAGGTACTTATATTTAAGTAATGTAAATTAAAACTAATGGGAGCACTATACCCGGCATGGGGTCACTGGCACCCGTGCATTGCAACATAATGCACATAGTGCTACGTCACAACACGGTAGACCGCACCATAAAAACCATCGAGTATCCTAATAGAATCTTTTTTTTTAATTTCTTTTGTAATATTTGTAAGGCAATTCATTTCTGAAGCACCATACTTTTATATGTAAAATTTAAATTCGATATTACAGCGAAACAATTAAAGAGTACAGTATAAACTAAATTTTTTTAGCAGAACTGCTTCAATACTGTTTTATATTTAATTCTCGATGGTCCACGCCATAATAGTTTTGCTAAACTATCAAATTAAGATTGTTAAAATGATAAAAAAAGAAAAGATATCTTAGAATCAAATATAGTTCCAAATTTGAAATCGAATAGCAGTAGTAAATGCCGAGATAAAGTGCAGTGTAAACGGGCTAAGTCACGCCACAGTTTTCAATATTTGTAATTCCTCGCATGGCATCAAGAATAAGATTGTTTTTAGTCGAGTTAAGAAAGGACTAAGTTCTAAAATAGATTGTATTTTTTTTTGTGTAAGCACTACAAAACGATATATTTATAATGAGTAAATTTAAATTATTATTTTTTAATACCAAAAAACGAGGATTTACAAAAAAGCAGGTACTTCAATGGTAATAAAATTAATAAGGGCCAATATTGGCTAATATGGGATACGGGAGTAAACCCTATTGATTGCGGTGCATACACAGAAAAAATACCTAAACATACGTAAACTTCTCTTTCTGGCGGACATGATTTAAAAATTTACCAAAAATAAATATTACAATATGCCCCTCGCAAGTTTGAAAGTGGACGTCGTTACGCGAATTTATTGTATTTCGAATCGAACGCGTCGCCATTTTGAATGTCACTTCCTACCGCGCGTGGTTTGAATTTACAATTGTTTTTTTTTTCTTTACAAGAGTTGAACAGAAATAATTTGCACAACCGGTGCAGTTAACAATAAATTAAAACACGTCTAATCACCCCACGTGCGCCAGCTGTGGGGGGTCACTGACACTTATAATCACACGATGCGCGTATAAAGTGGCGTTACGCGGACGCCCCGTGAGTGTAGGACCTTATGGTGCCCATACACGATTTACCGTCGACTTTACAGAAAAAAAGCGGCGTTCAGTTAAAACTAAATAATAACCATTCGACATATTATATTACACAGTGCCGCCTATTCGTAGTAATTAAGCAAGGCTATATATAAGCCTTGCTTGTATGAATAAATAACTGAAATATGATAAGATATACTAAAATATTTTTTCAATTTATATATATATATATATATACATATATATATATATATATATATATATATATGTTATAGTACGAGGATAGGAATTCTGTGTATGACATACATTGCTTTTACCATGACCTTGGTACTAACAAAACACAATTGATTTTCACATACGCTTTTGTCACGTCACATCAATGGTTATGAACGTTGATATTTACTGATAAATACTTTTTTTTTGCCTGTGGTCCCGGCATAGAATGGACTACTCATTACATTTCCGTGGGTGTCATGAGAAGCGACTAAGGGAACTTAATGGCAATCTATGAGCAGCAGCGTCTCTCTTATAACATCCCCAGAATCTAACTACGATTGTCAACCCGCTTGCCAATCGTGGCAACTACAATACTTGCTCCAATAATGGGAGACTTTAGTTCAGCAGTGGACAATTGACGGTTGATATAATAACTTTTTTATTTTTATGAAAATGACATACAAGTAGACGGCCCACCTTATGGAAAGTGGTAACCGTCGCTTACATATATGCACAGCACCATGTAATTCACAAAATACACTATGACACCCATGGTAGTACGCTGCCATGTGTGTTAAATCACATACATGCATAAAACATTGACATATAATAAAACAAATAAACTTTACTCACCTCCGGTGCCGAGAACTTTAAGCAGATCAAAATGTGATATGTCCACTTTAGAAGCGCTGTTAAGATTAACTGTAAAAAAAAGAAATTATGTTATATTAATAAATGAAAAAAAGAAAAAAAAACCTAATGATTAATAATATATATTCTTTATTGCACTAAAACATACAGTAACAACAATAAGTTAATAACAATGTTAGCAAAGGCGAACTTATCTCTAAAAGAGATTTCTTCCAGTCAACATAACACAGTGGCATAGGAAGTAGTGAGTGGGCAGTAGTAGTGCAAAACAGAATAATACAAGAATTAATAGTTTTAAATCTATACTTATAATAAATATGCAGAGAGGTCAATTCTGTACATGAAATATATTTCCAAAATAACTATCAGCGGGTTAGTCATCGATACTGATGCCAAAAATGCAATTAGTAAAATTTTTGTCTGTATATTCGTTATAGAAACAAAAGCTATTCGACGGATTTTAACGAAACTTGGTACAATTATTCTTCATACTCCTGGGCAGGTTATAGTATACTTTTCATCACGCTACGATCAATAGGAGCAGAGCAGTGAAATGTTAAAAATGTCCACCCGTGCGACGCCGGGACGAGCCGCTAGTTTATAATAAAATTAAATAATAATAGATATTTCGTTGAATAATAACTACCGTGCGTCATACTGTATATCACCGAATTTAAAAACAAATAAATAATTATGTACTATAATTTTTTTTTTTTTTATTTTATTATATTTTTAATGAGTGAAATAAATATGAAACAGTGACCGCAGCTCTCCGCGTGTTGATAAATATTACTCATGTTTTTACGTCTCATCATCATCATCATCACCATATCACAGCCTTTAACTGTCAACTACTGAATATAAGCCTCCTCTTTGGGGGGTTTGCCAGTAGTTGCCACTTTTGACATGGATGGTCCATCCATCGATATATTTTTTTTTATACAACTTAGAATGACAAACAAGCTGACGGCCCACCTGATGGAAAGTGGTAACGGTCGCCTATAGAAAATTTAATTAAATTTTGTAAATTTTTGCATCTTTCTTTTATTTAGCTAGACATTGCCTTTGTTTTGTTCTATTATTTGGAATCAACACAATGAAAGTGAGTTTGTTTGTTACCTCTTAGCGCCATAACGGTTAAACTAATCTACCGCATTAATTATTTACTTCATCATTATTTCGGTCATTGACTGGTGTTTATGATCTGGTGGTGTGATTAATCACCTAAGCGTTAAGTGATCATTATAATCTTAGCCTTAGGGGGAAATTATAAAGCATCTTTACTAATATATTATAAATGTGAAAACGAGTTTATTACCTCTTGGCGCCTTAACGGCTCGACCAATTACAATTAAATTTAGAATATACAATTACTATATGGGATAGAAGGCATAGGATACTTATTTATCCTGATCTAACAACATAACCTAGTCACACGGAAGAAGTCGCGCGTGAAAGCTTGTAAACTACCATGGGAAACCGCGTAGAGGTCGACCTGATACCCTATCAGATCGGTCCTATATTACTAGCGATGGGGATTAACGTGCCTATTACTAACAGTCTCTCTCTGGGGGAAAGAGATTGTTAGTAATGGAGACTGAAAATCTCACTGCTAGCAATATACCTAACCAGGTCGACCTCCTAGCGGTTCTCCCTGGAAACTATCATGGTTAATTCCTGATGAATTCATCATGATGCGCTAACTGGCCTGTTTTCATTCTCATCTATCACCCTTCACTGGTGCTCCGCCAGCGTATCCCGTTAGCGCAGGCGGAGTTACCATACCATTTTCACCCATCAAAAAAAAGTCTTTCTCTCCACCCCTCCTCCCGTAAAAGCTTGTATATTTTGAAAATGTTAGAGGCAATTTAATTCGTATAATCATGAACTTTACAAGATGAAATGAATATTTAGTAACAGGAGTAAGGTTCCACGTTACTAAGAATTCACATTGTTACCGACAATTACTAGTAATATCAGGTCGACCACCACGCTGTTTCCTTAAAAACCATCGCGGTCCATTCCTGGTGAATTACTCACGACGGGTCAACTGATTTGACGTCATTTTCACTTATTATACGAAATAAATATAATATTGCCTTTTTGTATCACTCTGGTACACATATTTCATTTTTACATATTACGTTTTTTTTTATACAACTTAGAATGGCAAACAAGCTGACGGCCCACCTGATGGAAAGCGGTAACCGTCGTCTATAGACATGAGCAGTACCGTGGACATAACAGAGTATACTGTTTCGCCCATGATACCCCCCATGCCTTGCCATTTTTGAGGACTCAGGTGTTATTCCTCTGTACCCAGTAAATTCACGCCATATCCCACCCTTCAAACCAAAACACAGCCATGCAAACACAACTGCTTCACGGTTGAAACACGAATGGGACAGAGGCCCAAGCAATCGACTTTTGTACAAAGTCTCCCTCTGGTAAAACGTTATGGATAAAAATTTTGTGCCTATCGCCCTTATGTTTGAAACACTGTTTTTTTTTTTTTTTAATTTTCACAACTTTTGTATATCTTTTGATGCAAATAAAGCGTTTATCTAGCTACCTATTATTATACTTTAGTGATCCCCACTAGCATAAATCATTAACCTGACGGTGTTACTATACTGTTTTCAAGCATTAAAAAAGAAAAATATACTAAATGTATTTTTATTTCAATATTACTAATTGTAAATAAACAAAATACTTGATATGCCGCCCACAGCGTATTCTAAAATAATAAAATTCAATAATTAGCCATAATTTGCATTGTAATTTTTATTTTAAACACTACTAAATACACAACAGAATAAAAGTATAACTAAGGTGTATTGATCATTTAATTGGACCTCTATTGTTTGGAGTAGCATTCTTGACTCTGTTAACCTTACCGAAATTGAAAGTACTCAGTCAATAGTATGAATGAATAATAATGACTGGTGTTTTATATTTAGCAGTATAATAAATGACTTTAGAGAATATGAGTCGTCTGCTTAAAAAAAATTTTGGCAAAGTCAGTAATGAATGACGTTGGACGATTTTATAGTTTACCGGAGCACGGCACGATACGGTACAGTATGATTGATACAATCGTATATAAGATGTGTACAAATGTATAGAGACGCTTTTAATATCTCGGACGTGTATGGGCATTTATTACTCGACTGCCCAAAAAAGGAGGGTAATGTTATTAGGATCCACGTTTCTTTATTCCGACCATAATTTCTAAATGCCTGAACAAATATGGACGAATGGGGGGGGGGGGGCGGGGTATCAATAGAATCCTTACATAAACATCGAATGAAATTTGCTTTTAATTTTTCAATTTTTTTAGCAGTTTTTTCATTTTACCAGTTCAGACGTGAAATATAATTTGCAGAGCAAAATGTAAATCTTTTCAAATATTCACCATCGACGGAAAATCCATTTTCACACCTTCGAATTAGAACGATCACGAGCATTGCGATTTCAGAGGCGTTTCCACCCGCGAACATTCAGGTTGTGGAATGACCTACTTGCCGAGGTTTTCCTTAAGGACTACAGCATGGGGATCTTCAAAAAGGACGTAATGAGATTTCTAAGGTGAAACATCTTATCTCGTTGCTATTTTTATTTGTATTGTTGTTCGCAAATTACAACTCATGCCTATGTAGAAATAATAATAATATAAAATGAAGTGATTGGACATTATTAATGGCTCCGACTACCTCATTAGAGAATATAGTTGTGAGCATACTTTTTTTTTTAATAACAATATATTTTTATTTGTGTAAAAACATAGTATACAATAACGTTTTGATTATATTTAAAATTATTAATTTGCTAAAGTCATATAGCATGCAAATTCAGTCCTATAATATATATATATATATATATATATATATATATATATATATATATATATATATATATATATATATATTATATTTGTATTTGCGTAGTCTAGTAACAGATATAGCAGACGGATACTTTGTACAAAAGTCATTTGTTTGGCTACCTCTGTCCCATTCGTGTATCTACCGTGAAGCAGTTGTGTTTGCATGGCTGTGTTTCGGTTTGAAGGGTGGGATATGGCGTGAATTTACAGGGTACAGAGGAATAACACCTAAGTCCTCAGGAATGGCAACGCATGGGGGGTATCATGGGCGAAACAGTATACTCTGTTATGTCCATGGTACTGCTCATGTCTATAGGCGACGGTTACCACTTTCCATCAGGTGTGCGGTCAGCTTGTTTGCCATTCTAAATTGCATAAAAAAATTAAATCAATCGATTATCGGTTTGTACCACTATAGACTGTTTTATGGTTGATTACTGCTCAAGTTTATAGGCGACGGTTACGACTATCCATCAGGTGGGCCGTCAGCTTGTTCGCCATTTTAAGTTGCATAAAAAACACATCGTGAATATATAGGTATACTTGTACCTATAATTATTACAAAAACATACTAACTATACTAGTGACAAATAAAATAGAACAAGCGCAAAGTCATTTGGTTATTGACCCCGTTCACATTACCTACTAGAAAAAGTCACCTTGCTCCCACTAAACAAAAATTGATACTCAAAAAATAAAATGTATTAACAATATAAGAATTTAGAGGGAAAGGGATTGTTAGTAATGGAGACTGAGAATCCCATTGCTAGCAACTGGTTGGGTATATTGCTAGCAATGGTCTAGAGGCTCGACCTCCTCGCGGTTCTCCCTGGAAACTATCATGGTTAATTCCTGATGAATTCATCATGATGGGCTAACTGGCCTGTTTTCATTCTCATCGATCACCCTTCACTGGTGCTCCGCCAGCGTATCCCGTTAGCGCAGGCGGGGTTACCATACCATTTTCACCCATCAAAAAAAATATATATAAGAATTTGTTTTGGAAATAGGAAGTTTCTGCACAAGTAATGAACATAGGAACATGTCCCAATTGTTATTGACTTCGTACTTCGTATTCCGTAATTTCATTTCCTAATCCATTCGATATAGCTAAAACACGAGTGAGACAAAGGTAGCCATAGAAACGACTTTTATACAGTTGTAAAAC